CTGCCTTTTGTAGCTTTGCTTATCTCCTTTTTGGTCCTCATTTCCCGATCCCACGTCCTGATGCGCAACGACGGCGCAAGTTGTATTCGGCTGGTCCGGCGACACTTTGGTTTTTATGTCCTGTCCTTTGTACTTCATGTCTGAAATGATACGGTAGAGAAGATGGACGAGAAGGAAATGGAATGAAGGTGGATGATTTCTCTCACAACTCGATCTCTTCGTGATGACGTATCGTGACATGTTCCTCAAAAATAATGAGGTGACAATATCGTACGAGGGAAGAATTGACTTCCGCGATTCAAGGTTTGAAAAGGGGGTGTATGAGGGGTTCAGTTTGAGCGACAATTTTGACAGCTCGTCGTGTTTGTCTCAATTTTCTGCTTCGGTTCCAAAGCTTCAGTACACACCTCTTCTGAGTTTTTTCTTGGGGAATGGCGCGCATTCGTTCGTAATGGTAGGTGGGCATCTAACTGTAAATCTGGACTTCTCGTGTTCTCCCTATATCTGCGGATTTCCTAGTCGGTGGCAACACTTCATCCGATGAGTTTGTCATCCGAGATGGGATGGGTGGGTGAGTAACGGCTGAGGGGAGGGGGGGTGACGTGAGCCTGCCTGCCACGTTGTCCTGTGGCGGTGGGCTCTGTTTTGTTTTTGTATGTGTGTTCTGTTCGTGTTTCAAGTTTTGTGGCGTAGAGGGCGTGATATATACACGGTGGTATATATCACCGAAGTGTGTGTGTCGTGTTTGAGAGGTCTGGGGGTGTAGGGTGAGGAAGGGCGCTACATGTATGTATGGTTTGCCGGGCCCTTGGGTTTGTTGGAGTGCTTTCTTCTAGGTTGAGAGGCATGGAGGGAAGGTTATGGGTTGGGTAGGGTAGGATAGGAGAGGGTGTGTGATTTGAAGGAGAGGAGTGGTTTGAAGGTGACGATGGTTTTTTTTTTTTTTGGCTCGATTGGGTTTGGTTGGCGTGTCACAGCCCTGTGGAGCGGGGGTTGTAGTGGTTCAGGTGCGGCGGCGTGGTGGGTTGGTGAGATGAGATGAGGCTGACGTGAGAGTGGTGGTGAGGTTTGGTGAGTTTGATGGGTGGGTTTGCTTTTGAAGGAGGCTGGAGATGGGGGAAGAGCCGAGATGATGATGTGAGAAGAGTAGGGATATTGTTAGGAGGAGGCTGTTTGTGTTTATAAGAATGAGCTAAAGGCCAGTTGCAAGGCGTCTGAGGAAACATGAGTGTTAGTTGTGGACTTTGGTGAATGAGAGTCATGTTGCTGAGGGTGAGTTGGTCACTGGACTTGAGGAATGCCATGATGATGAGCCCGCATGATGTGATTTTGGCTTAGGATCCCGGGGGAGACAGGAGATGAATCGCTTGTGATCTCGAGAATACGTGGGGGTCACGATGAAGAATAGACGAACGAGGCTGGATGTGAAAAGGACCTCACCTCACAGGAGATGTCTAAGAAGAGCGGACACAGGCTGACAAGTCCCTAGCATGACTCTCTCGAGCAAATGCCAGGAGTTGTACATTCTGGTATATTAATGAGGGTGTGAGTTTGAAGGTCGTGAGAGTGGAGTCTGCTTTATTAGTGAAGCCGGCGTAGCCCAGGTTCAATGGAAACCTGTCAAGCATCCTTGCTACTGCATCATATCATGATGATCGAATAGAAGGAACGATCAGTACACGTGCCTGGAAGAATCTGATCTCCAAAGATTCGCAACAGCCTCACGTGTATCGCACATCTTCTCACGCAAAGACAGAGCGCTCCGTTTTTGATGTGAAATTGAGTCCGGATTTCGAACCCCCAACCCCCGGGACGCAGACAGTTAAACAAGTTATCTGCCAGTTCGTCAGAATCACTTACAGAAGCCGGCAGCAGTGTTAATCTTTTGCTTATCCATGATATCAGGACCGGGTGAGTAAATTGAAATCCGCTGTATCTGGAGACTTTGCTTTATGCCTCCTGAGTCTTCAACACTCAGACCAAATTTGAGAGTTAAAACGAGGAGACAATCCAGGCAGAATATTTATATCTTCCGAAGGGGTATGCTCTCATTGCTTTGTAAGTTAATCTATCTCGTATCATTACAAGTTGATCTCCTGAATATATCGGTGGTGCTTTGATCAGGTTGATAACTTGAGAATTTCAGACGGAGCTGTTTTGTATTACCGCATGACGTCCGGATGTGCTTGGAAGTCTGCATTTGGGACGAGACTAATAGAGCATAGGAACATCGACATCTGACGCCTTTTTTCCGGAGACAAAGCGTGCTGTTTATTTGACCTCATATTAGATGGCAAGACGATACGGAGATGTTTCCATGGGCGTTGGAGCCAGATAACCGAACTTTCTTGATCTGGGTTTTGCTTTGGAAGAAGGCTGTGTAAATTAGTCGCGGAAATATCTGATTGAGTTGGGTTAAAAACGCAGTGTAAACGCCTGTTTCTGAATCACATGCCTAATTGGATCATCTTGAGAGCTTGGGATCAGCTAATGTCGCAGTGAAGATTACGCCCCACAAACCTTGAGCTGGAAGAAGGCTGTGTACGGATACTCTGGTCGTGGGACTTTCTGGTTGACTTGGGTTAAGAACGTAGTGAAGACTTCGCCTCTCGTCCACGACCGACGTTTGAGAGAGGTTAGCATGCAGGGGTTGGGGCGGCTGCAAATCGTCTTGAGAGCTCGAGATGGGCCAACATTGCAGTGAAGCTTTCGCCCCCAGCACCTTTGACGTTTGGCTTTGGAGGAGCTGAGGTGGGCCGGTAGGAAAACGTCTTGAGAGCTTTGGAGGGAGCCAAAATTGCAGTGAAGACTTCAGCCCCCAACCTGGTTACTTCCGGCGCGGGCTGGACTTCTGGAATGGAGCTGCGGCGTTAAAGTGGAAACACATCTTGAGAGCATTGGGGGGAGCCAAGATTGCAGTGAATAGCGCTGCTCAACCGCAGCAAAGCTGTGGCCTTCTTTGTATGCAGGGAGTGAGTCGACAAAGTTGCTAATCGTCTTGAGAGCTTGTTGAGATGGACTAATATTGCAGTGAAAAATGTGACGAAACGTCTTGAGAGCTTGGGGTGTGCTAAAATTGCAGTGAAGATTTCGCAATTCGCCAATGAGATATGCTTTGGGGGGGGGGGGTTTTGTGGTCGGTCGTAGCTCAAGTGTTGAGGTTCTTCAGTTTTCTTGTATTCAGTAAGCTCTATACCGAGTGTGTAAGTTGACGAGCTCTGAGCCTGCATGATTTGCCATGATGAGAAAGCAGTAGCGAGGAGAAGTAGGCAGTTGGCAATACGACTGCCTTGAACGGGATGCACGATGAAATTGCTTTCAGCCGATTTGATGCTCCAAGACCCCGAGTGGCAGCATTTGTTGCGACCATATTTCTTACATCGTTAAACCTGAGGATCGTAGACGAGAGCTAAAGGGAGGATGGCTCTGCCCGGGCCTTTGACTTGTGATAGGTACCTAAAGTAGGAATCAAGCAAAGACATCGATTAGGGATGGACGATCGTCGCCAGCTTGTTTCCATCGAACACCGAAGCATGTCGTCGCATTGAAGACAATGTGCCTCTGCAAGATACCAATTCTGCTCCACACTTTTCATAACTTTGAAGCTTCACTTGCGCCTGCTGCTACGAAACTACTGTATAGCTATGTTGGAATCTCCGATAATTGTTGTCTCTATACCTTGGCTAGTCGCGATATCGTTGCCCCATCAAAATACTTAGACCGGGACCAAGCTCGTCCACATTGCGTGGCCACTTCGATCCCATGATACATCCTATGAATCAGCGTGTGGGCAGTGTTCATAGATACGATCGGTAAAAGCAACCTGAATGGTTCGCATTATAAAACGTGGCGCATCAAGTCGAAGACGTGGCGGAGACGAGCCGACAGGTCGGTTCGTGATGAGATGGGATGGGATGGACGGATGGATTTGGTATGACACACCCTTAGACGCACCCTTACTACACCACACGCTGATTGACCATCGTGCTGGGTGTAAATCACCAGTTCACCAATATCGCCACTTGGAGGCCGCATATTTGTTATAGTTGGTGGCGATTTGCGATCTCGGTAGTTGCCAAAGGGTGGTGGGTGGACAAACAGTCGGTGACGCTATTCAATTGAGATGTCGGCGACCAACTGGGTATTGCTCGTTGTTGCATGACACACATCGGCTTGCGAGGCCGCATGAAGTGAAGCGTTGCATTTGGCGGGGAATACAGATATCGTCGATGGATGGTGGCATTCGTTTCAGAACACAACCCGAGTGACTGGGGATGTAAGTGGTCACTAGTCTGTCGGCCATCACTGAACCCTAGACTCATCATGCCCAATTCTATGGAAGATCCAAGTGAACAAGTAGTCGGAATTTTACGTACTTATACCAAGCTCCCCACCACTCACCGAAAATCACCGAGCCCGGTGAAGAAAGTTAAGCTTGTTTCGAGCACGTCAGCTGTCACTTACAACGCCCCCCAGCCGCTTCCCACGCGGGCCAACCCGCATTTCCCCCAAACGACGCAAGACGCTTGCCTACCAAAACTACAACGGGGGGAAACAGCAGGACCAGTTGTCTATCTGATGATTCACTGATAGGGGAACGATGTCCGACGATCAGTGATTCGCGGTCCCTCTCTCTTTTGAGAAATTCCCATAATAGGGGAGAGTTCTTCACCTGTTGGGTTCCCTTGGGGCAGCATTGACTTAATCTCGCAATGCTCCACACCAGGAACCCAGCAAGCAAAAAGTCGTAATTACCTCCATCATAAACAGACAGAAAGACGCACACGCCAACGCAAAACAAAAGGGGGGAAATCTTGAACGTTGTGCTCCCTTTTTAGCCTAAGTGCCGGTAGGGTGACATTCGTTGGACCTTCTAGAAGGAAAGATAACAAAAGCCAAATCAAATCAAATCTCGATAAACCGGACCCCTATCTTCTAAAATCCTGCGCAGCTTCGAGCGCTTAAGCACCGAGGTAACTGTACCATTTCAAAAAAGAGAGATGGCTGCGCATACCGAGAGCGCGCAGCTGGCCAGTCGGCTCGATGGACTGGTCATGGTCATCCCGGACCTACGCCGGATGGTCAGCCACTGGCCGTCTGGGAAGAATGTTCACGCCTCCGAGGTTGAGGGTTTGATTTGCAAACTCCTTGAGCAAAGGTGAGCTGCTTCAAGACTTTGAAGACATGATTCTGATATGCTGACTTATCAAAGCGATACGTCACCAAAAGACAAGGCCAACGTCCTGGAAGCGAATCCGGCTCTCCTAGCCTCATGGTGAGATATCCTCAAACGAGTCCCAAAACAAGAGCAGCACTTGCTGATACGTCGTGTGTGACTTTAGCCTCTGGCCCAACGCAAAAAGAGAGAGACTCGGCACCCTGACGCTGATGGTGCTCTGGCAAGGTAGACTCGATGACTACATCGAGAGCCTTGAGTATAAGAGCGCGGAAAAGGCCAAGGATTTCCGCAACAAGGCCAAGGACTATATTGCGCAGTATCTTCAGCTTTCTGAGGGGCCCAAGAAGGCGTCGACGGACCCTGTCATTACGGGGTTCCAGCCGGTTGCGAAAGTGATTTGCCAGCAGTATGATCGAGGTGAGATTTGTTTTCTTTCTGTCGCTGGCACTCCTAGGTATAGCGAAGAAATCTGGGAGCTGACGTTGTTTGGCCATGGCAGATCAGCGGAGGAGGTTGAGGGTCAGTTTGTTCGAGTACATTGACTCGACAGTGCAAGAGATGCGGTATATCCAGAACGGACACGCGCCGACGACGTTATCGTATGAGAAGCTTCGTAAGAAGACGGGCGGCGCTGGCCCTCTGTGTGCCTTGGCAGAGTAAGAAGACTTGAGAGACCCCTCGTGAAGGGGAAGGCTGTTGTTGACGACAGAATAGGTTCGCATCTGGATCAGAGTGGCCGGCGCACGTCGTCAATACGCAGCCGTATAAGATGGTCCAGGAGTCGGTCAGCGTCATCATCGGCCTGTTAGTTTTGCCCCTCTGAAACACCCCGGATTGGAGGTATGCAGAAGCTGACAAGATATTTTGGAAAATAGAACGAATGACTTGCTCTCGCTGAACAAGGAGTTGGTAAGTGAATCCCGCATGGTGATGTTTTGCAACCGAGGAACTAATCATCCGAGCAGCGAAAAGGCCGTACTCTCAACGCGGTCCCGGTGCGGTACTGGAACGGGAAAGACGGTAGCGACCTGGAGAGTGTCGTCGGAGAAGTCGTCGAAGAGATTGACAAGGCCATCAGGCAGCTTGACGTCTGCGAGCGGAGGTTGATCAACCTGAGCCAGGTGGATGCGGATGCGATTCGGGAGGTCACTGCGACGCTCAAGACGATTTGCACTGGCAACTTGACTTGGAGGTTTGTAGCTTGGCCCTTTCTTTCTACCGCTGGGCATTGCTGACGATGGGAACAGTCTTGAGTCGAAGCGATATAACGTAGGTCCACCGGATGCTGATGGAAGCTTGAGGCAGGAGTTGAGGGCTCCCGATTCATGAAGTTGAGAGAAATGGGTGGAACGGAGACGGTAATGGACGATGATAATGGATGGTCATGAGTGGTAGAGTAAGAGCTGGGCGGCGACGCCGCGAGTAGAACATCCGTAATGATGAATGATACCCCAAAGGGCCCTAACCTCATGGATCAATTGCCAAACGGCCAAGTCCTCTGTTCCAACGCGTGGGATGCGGGTTGATAAGTTGACAGCCCCCGATTCCCAGTGCCAGCGGATTGGAAAAGGGGACCGAGGACCTTGAGAGACAGCGCGATAAGAAGCAAGTATTACAAAAAAAAAGAAAAGTAGAGGTTGATGAAATGCATACGTTATTGGTGCCGTGCATGACAAGTCAAGTTTGCGTTGCAGCGCCCGGGGCTTATGAACAAATGCGGCGTACCAAGGCGACCGCGCCAGAAGGATTTTAGCCTCTTAGCAACTTGGGATTATTACACGGTAAGGTACCTTACCATACTGATACTCCGTGCTTAACTACCCACAGTAGGCGAGTAGGTACAAAATGATTGTCTCACAGGGGGACGCAGGGGGGGACGTTTGCCATTGGACGTTGGTCTGATGTCATGGCAATTTGCGAGCTCAGCCAAGCAAATGTCTCAATTGGGACCCGGGGGGGTAGTGGGAGTGGGCGCGGCCCCTCCCAAGCTTTCAGCTCTAGGGCAGCGTCTGGGGAAAAAGACCAAGCTCCCCCCCCCCCAAGCTCTAGTCCCAGGAAAACAGAAGCTCTACTTACCAACCTAACACAAACACATATCATCCAGCCTCGTCCCCCATTTAGGAGCGTATCTACTAAACTTCCACACTCACCTCGCACCAACTTCAACCTCCAAACCGTACACATCTACCTACAGACACAATGGCTTTCCGCTTCGCCGCAAGAAGACTCGCTCTCACCCGCCCCGCTGTGCCGGCGCGGGCCTTCCACTCTACGCCCGCCGCCTTCGTCAAGGTTGGCGACGCTGTGCCCGAGATCGACCTCGTCGAGAACTCGCCCGGCAACAAGGTCAACCTCGCCGAGGAGTTTGGCAAGGTAACCAACGGCCTCATCATCGGCGTGCCCGCCGCCTTCTCGCCCGCGTGCTCCGCGAGCCACATCCCTTCGTACATCAACCACCCGAAGCTCAAGGAGGCCGGCTCCGTCTTTGTCGTATCCGTCAACGACCCCTTTGTGTAAGCTTCCCCCTTCAGACTTTCGAGGCACCCAAAGTTTTGAAGCACCGAGGCTTCGAAGCACCGAGGTATAGAAAGCAATTGATGCTGACGAACGAGTAGCATGAAGGCCTGGGGTGACCAACTGGACCCTGCCGCCCAGACTGGAGTATGTCAAGAGCCCAATTTCCCTGTCCCCTTGCATCATGGCTGCGATGAGGTGCTGACACTGTGAAAGATCCGATTCCTGGGAGACCCGTCCGGCGAGTTCACCAGAGCCTTTGACGTCGACTTTGACAGCAAGGCCATCTTTGGCAACGACCGCAGCAAGCGCTATACCCTCGTGATTGAGAACAGCAAGGTCAAGGAAGCCCACGTCGAGCCCGATAACATTGGCACTGCTGGTAAGATTTTAGGCCATGACATCTTGGGGGGACTAGCTGACATTCCATACAGTTTCCCTGGCCGACAAGGTCTTGGGTTGAGAAAACGTGGACCCGAAGTTGCGTTGTTGCGAAGATTACGAGAAGGAGAACCTCGAAGGCCACTTGGAATAGGTAGATGCGAGTTGAAAGAAGATGCAATGTGTATCGCGAATACCAGCTTGAATTCAGAGACAATCTAGGAAACGTGTCTCCCAATCTCAACCCCTGATGACAGCACCAAGAAGAAATGGTGTCTCGTGTACCGGCCTGGGGGTCCCACAAAGAACTCGAACGTTGCCTTCGAAAGCCATCGGATCATACACGACGCGAATAGGTACCCGAAGTGATTGACCAGGACGAGACTATCATATTTGTCAGGCCTACAAATGCCGAAGCTCAAGTGAACCCCGGAACTAAAGCTGGCCGAGCCGGGCATTTGTGGACACCCGACAACCGGCGACATCGGAGCCACTTGATGCCGGGCCGCTCCCGCCTGACAAATGCAGGGGCAAACAACGTGAGAATGCAATGTCGCTATCGATAAGGGTGAATGACTAAGGAGAAAGCGAGGGGCAGTTCCGCCAGGTTCCGCACCTACTTATCGAGCGACAAGCAACGATTGTCTCAACTCTCGATTGTGCCAGCCGTGGCGCTCAGGGCAGCTGTGTGAGTCGTTCACCGTCATGCCATGCATCAAGCCCAAAGCCAAAGACCACCCTCTCTCTTACTCCTGGATACCTATTGAGTCCCTCGTCGCTTAACTCCGCACTGTCTTGGGCTGGACTGGGACAAGGACCAGATTGTGAGGGCGCAAGGCCCATTAGGTCACCTGCCCGCCGTCGGACGCAGTCACTGGCCAGCGTCCATTGCAATGACACTGGCACGGGGCTGCATCTGGCCCCCGGGGGTTTGAGGACTGGCCTCCTCCCCGGTGGTATTGGTGTCTGGGGGAGGGCGAAGTGCTTTATCGAGTCGTGTGCTGCCTGAAGCGCATCTCGTTCACCAGTGCCTGATCACTTTCGCTGGGCTGCATTCGGAGACGAGATGTAAAGATAGCGCTGGAAGCGCAAAATAGAAGCATCTGCAACCTTGTGACCCTGTCCCCCCTCACTTCCTTACCTCTAAGGAGGTAGGTACTTGAGGTACCCAAGGTACTCACTCACATTACTCACATTGGGAGCGAAGTCCGCCATCATATTCCCAAGACCAGAGGAGATGCATGTTGGAACATAGTGCCGATGGTGTCAATATTTAACGGATAGAGTCAGCTTGTTCAGTGACACTGAGACTCAAGTTGCAAGGCTGTACGGAGTACTGTGATAGAGTGAGGTGAGGATACTCCCCCTTGACCCTGCCCCTAGGTACCGGTGGTTCACAGTGCAAGCCCGCGCTAGCCCAGCGGGGAATTTGTACCCCCGCCCTACCTAAGTGCCTGATAAGATACTTTGGATTTACCGTCACCGCCCGCCATCAACCAAGTCACTCGGCCTCTTACCTCCGGTGCATTCTTCCAACCAACACCCGACGTCTGAGTTCCGTCATTGGACCCAATACCTACTCGCTGGGAGAGAAGGAAGTCACTGCCTGCCTGGTCCTGACTATCTGTGACTGCCAAACCAAACCGTCCGACTCCCTCCCGCTATCCACCCACTCATCCCACCCACATCCCACACGCTCAGTTGCTCACTCGTTCACCTTTCCAGCAACGCATTCCAATCCCACTTTCACATCCACATACCCACGCCCACACCCATCACCCATAGACTACCGCCCTCGCACTCTACCTCGCGGCATTCTACACCGCAGGCAACCGAGCCAGGTCCTTATTGCCGCCTACCGCTCTGACTGATCCCGCCCGACCTCGACAGCCCGCCGATTCTCCGAACAATCGCAGACCGCGCATTTTGTACAACTTGACCAGCTCTTCCCGGTCTTTGTGCCTGTTTGTTACCTCAGCCTTGGGCCATCGCAGCCTGCAACTTACCAATCTACCCCTCCACCCATCAAGTGAATCACACACCGCGACCGGCGCCCAACAGGCATTCTTACTCCCCTCGTTGAATCTGATCCTCACTCTCCATCTCCGTCACCCGTGTCTCACCTACCCATATAATCCTACCCGTTTCCGCCCCCTCGGAAACGCTTTCCTCGCCTCCATCTGCAGTCGGCACCATTCCTCCCACTACGCGGAAGAGAAAGGCCGCTGAGGCGACGATATCCTCCAATAACCAAGACACCGCGACAAAGAAGAGGATCGCCTCGGCTGCCGGACAGGACGCTCCCCCAACCCCCGTCACCACCGCGAGCAACGGCATGGATTCAGAGGAGGACTTCATGTCGGCTCCCTCGAGCGACGACGAGATCATGCAGGATGACAGCGGCGAGGACATGTCTGGCCCTGATGGTATGCATACATCCCTCAACCCACCTCGAGACTTCTCGGTCTCGAAGCCACCCACTGACGTCTCTGATTCCTCCACAGATTTCGATGAAGATGACTTCGAAGACGAGCCCGAGGACCTGGGCATGATCAAAGACTCCGACAGCCGAAAGAAAGTGGCCTACGACATCTCATTCAAGGTCTACGAACCAAAGGATATCCAACGTCAACAGGATGACATGATCGACGAGGTCAACATGATCCTGAACATCCGCAAGGAGGACGTTGCAATATTGTTGCGGCACTTTAGGTGGAACAAAGAACGTTTGATCGAGGACTACATGGACGCTCCCAACAAGGTCTTGGAGGCTGCCGGCCTTGGCTCGAATGTGGCTGGCCCGCCTAAGCTTGAAGCCATTCCGGGCTTCATGTGCGACATCTGCTGCGAAGATGAGGAGGGCCTCCAGACCTTCTCTCTCAAATGCGGCCACCGATACTGCGTGGACTGCTACCGCCACTACCTGACTCAAAAGATTCGCGAAGAAGGTGAGGCAGCTCGTATCCAGTGTCCGGCCGAGGGCTGCGGCCGCATCATCGATTCAAAGTCGTTGGATCTGCTCGTTGCATCCGACCTCAACTCCCGATACCATGAGCTGCTTAACCGGACGTACGTGGAGGACAAGGAAATCTTGAAGTGGTGCCCTGCACCAGACTGCCCCAACGCCGTGGAATGCGCCATTAAGAAGAAGGACTTGGACAGAATTGTTCCCACAGTAGCATGCGGCTGCGGTCATCGCTTCTGCTTTGGTTGCATTTTAACTGATCACCAGCCTGCTCCATGTGAGCTTGTCAAGCGATGGTTGAAGAAGTGTGCAGACGATTCGGAGACTGCTAACTGGATATCGGCCAATACCAAGGAGTGCCCCAAGTGCAACTCG